AACCAGTTAATTATTTATCCTTTTTTCCAAATAGAAATCCATATTTCCGTCCCAATGTTGTGCTCCAACAAAAAGGTAAACATGTGCCAGTAGCCTTCAATTATAGAGAATTTGAATAACAATACTTTGTTTGTCAAGAGGTAGTATAAAAAGCCCTGAAAACATGGGGAATCTCTCCAACGGAGACCATGGGCAAGGTAAGTACTGTTTTTTTCTCTCTGCTTATATTAAATGTACTCGAACGTTTTCTCAGTATGTTTTATGTTTTCTCAACTCTTATTGCTGAATCATTGGCAGCTACTGACACATTTATTCCCCAATAGATTATCTTTTACGAGGACAAAAACTTCCAGGGTCGGAGCTATGAGTGCAGCAACGACTGCACAGACCTTCACTCGTACTTCAGCCGCTGCAACTCCATCAGGGTGGAGAGCGGCTGCTTCATGATCTACGAGCGACCCAACTTCATGGGCCACCAGTACTTCATGAGGAGGGGAGAGTACCCCGACTACCAGAGGTGGATGGGATTCAGTAGCTGTATCCGCTCATGCAGGATGATTCCACAGGTAAGACGACGATTAAAGACGATGGACATTTTGCTTAAAAGTCTGATCATTTCCAAAAGGCACTTGGTTAAAGAAGACTTCATGTCCTTTGTTCCCACAGTATCGAGGCTCCTACAGATTGCGCATCTACGAGAAGCCCGACTTCAGCGGTCACATGATGGAGTTCATGGATGACTGTCCCTGTGTGTCTGACCGTTTCCATCACCGCCATGTGTACTCCAGTAATGTTATGAATGGCTTCTGGATCTTCTATGAGTACCCCAACTACCGAGGCAGACAGTACTTCCTGAGACCTGGGGAATACAGGAGGGTACCGCGACTGGTGCGCCACCTGCGCCATCGTTGGCTCCTTCAGGAGGGTCAACGAATTTTAGCCATTTAGCGAAACCTTGCTGTAAATATCAAACACTTTGTTTATTAAAGATGTTGCATTTTTAAATCTCCTTTGTGAATGTGTTTTGATTAGTTTGACAAAGTCTGATGTTGTTGCCTGGGCTTAAAAATAAACAGAGCCTTTCATTAAGACGATAAAAAGGCTGTGTGGTTTGCAGATCTGTAATACATTTGCCGTTACTGTGAACAAAAGGGAATTCTTTTTGACATTTTGTTTACACCCTAACTACAAGAAACAAGAGGGGTAAGCAGCCACAACTGTACTGCAGCATATAAACTACCCATGAGAGTGAATAATGCTTCATCAACCTTTTCTTCTGTGATACTTGACTTAATTATCTACCCGATTTATATATTATCATATAATATATATTATCATATAATACTGAAGGTAAGTGTAATAAGCTAAGGCAATCAGCCTACACCACAACAAAAATGAACTCAAATACTATAAATCCTATTTTATTAGCACACACTGTACACACTTTAAAAAATATGTAATTATTTTACATATTTCTGATTATTTACAACTATTTATTTAATTTACTTTACATTACATTGCATTTAGCTGACACTTTTATCCAAAGCGACTTACAATAAGTGCATTCGACCAAGAAGACACAAACTTGAAGAAAACAGAATCATAAAGTACATCAGGTTTCATAGAGCCAACACATTTCAAGTGCTACTCAACTGGCTTTAGATAAGCCAGTCCTTTATTAGTATATAAGTGCTTTGTTAACAAATGATTATCTGCTTAAATTGAAGTCAGTTGATCTTACAACTTACCATGGTCCATGGGCATGTCACAAGTATAGTCACAACAGCCTTTTGTGCTCCCTCTACAGCAATTTAAAGCAGAAAAAAAGGCAAATACAATGGATAAGTTAACATATTAAATAAAGAGGCAAGCATATGTTAATACAATTTAATATGTACACATCCATGGTAAAAAGAAATGAAAACAAGTATCAGCATTATAAAAGTATGTAAATATATATAGAAATGTGCAAAAACATTCAGAGACATGAACACATGAACAATAATCAACTGTACACAAGTGTATGTGCACATGAGCAGTGGTATTCTCTTGTGAAAGCACCTGCAGCATCTCACTGTGAGACACTGCCAGAGGTGGGAGAAGTACTCAGATCTTGTACTTGAGTAAAGTAGAATACCAGAGTGTAGGAATACTCTGTTACAGGTAAAAGTCCTGCATTCACAAAGTACTAATTTTCCAGTATGGTCCATATCAGATTTAAAAATACTACATTTCTGTATTATAATCATCATTAATGCATTAATTTCAATGTTCATTTGGATTATTTGTATTACTTGCTATACTAATGGGAAGCGTAACCTATAATAATAATGATTTATTGGTTGGTTTATATTCTGTATTATGAAACCTGCAAAGTAGCTAGTAAGTCGTTTTCCAAATGTAATGTAGTGGAGTAAAAACTAAAATATAGTGCCTCCAAAATGTAGTCAAGTAAAAGTATAAAGTAAATGTAAAGTACCTCATAATTGTACTTAAGTAAATGTACTTGGTTAAATTCCACCACTGCTCATATGGTCCACAGTGCTCTACAGGGTGTGTGTTGATTGTAAAGTCTGATTGCTGCAGGAAGAAAGCACCTGCAGCTTATCTCTGTGAGACACCGCGGGGGAAGCAGGTGTCACTGAAGGTGCTGCAAAACAAAGGAGGAAGTGACATGATGTCCAGCAGGGACGACAGCTTGGCCATCATCCACCTGTCTGAAACTCCACAGTGTCCAGAGGGCATCCAGGACAAAGCTGGCCTTCTTTACCAGTCTGAGTCTCTTCAGCCACTAATGGCGCGTTTCCACTGCAGCGGGGTAGCCCCGTTTAAGCGTCCCTAAGCGTCCTCGCTCTGGCCTCGGGCTGCCTCGCTGGCCGGCCCAGGCCGTGGCGCATTTCCACAGTTTAGGACCTGGGGTAGCAACGCAGTGTAGGCGGGGCGATCGGCTTTGTTTTTGTTCACATTTCGAGTTGTTCCGTCGAGCTCCCGCTGGATTTGATCATCCCCAATGAGATGTCGGAACGTCGTCACCTCCTCGGTCGACCACGGTGTGCTTTTCTTATTAGACGTAGCCATTTTTGTAGCTCATCCGTTTACAAAATGCTGTTTATAAAAATGCTGCAAGCTTGCTTCTAAATATATATGCGACGTTAGGGATGAACTCGCGGGCGATCTTGTCGAGAGTGTTGACGTCACTAGTTAAGCCCTGGCCCTGGTCTGAGGGAACCACGATTTTATGAGGCCGGAAAAAGAGGGAAAAAGTACCCGCTGGCCGGTACTAGGCTATATGGAAACGCCACCAAAAACCGGCCTGGCCGCTTGAGGACGGTTAAGGACGCTTAAACGGGGCTACCCGCTGCAGTGGAAACGCGCCATAAGAAGCTGCTCCAGCAGGCCACTCAGAAGGCAGAAAGTCAACCTTGTTCCTCTGTCCTGCAGTGACTGAAACCATCCAGTAGTGAGTAAATAAATGTATACATTATTTTTTTAAGTAAGTAAAGGATATGTTAACTATCCGCTAGGCTAATTTATGCAATGTAAAAGGCCTAAAGCTTATGCTAATGACGTTAGCATGCTCCACATGTAGCTTGATTAGCAACTGACACGTTTTGTAGTGCTGCACTTTTTTTCTTCTTCTAATAGTGTGTTGTTAACTGAATTACAGTTTGCTTTCAGCTGTCTGTTTAAAGATAGCTCTGTATTCTTTGTCAGCTTTCCCTTTTTAAGATAATGACTTGTAGTTAGCATGTTTTAGTCAATTAGCATCATACATGTATAAAGCCTTCTGTCTCTACATGAATACGTGAACAGGTAAGATGTATTTTTAATAATAATTGTGGATGAGACATTGACTAGCAGTATGCCTACACAAATAAATTAGGAAATGAATGCTTTGAGCTAATGTTATGAGGTATTGATAGCTCAACTAGCAAAAGGTTTTATTTGATAGTATGGCGAAGTTGCAAATTCACACCAGCAAGTACTGGTAGTACTGGTAGTACTGACTTTTGCAAGACACATTTGCATAATATAACAGTTAGCATGAATTACGGATTCAACCAAGGAAGCTTGTTAGTTTTAACTTCACCTGTTAACTCAGGGTTTACTATGCTGTATTGTTCCTCTCCAGCACAACCTTCTCGTCTAATTACGGGTTTCGTTCGTAAATCTAATCGGCTGCTTCACAATAAAATCAGATCGCTGTAATCTAAAGAAACAGAGCGTTCTGATTTTACATTAATTTAAAAACGGGTAAGTAAACCACTTTCATCTTGATATGTATATTTAGAAATGCAGCTCCTCCTGTGCAAGTGCTTGTCAAAAGTTAGGATGACAGTGTAAGAAATGATTATTGAAGAGATAGAGTGTAACTCTACACACTCTCTTCAATAATAATAATTTATTACACATGAAACATATGCAGCTAGCTTGTGATATGAGATAATGTTAGCTTAGGTAGCTAAATGTTTAATTATGGACAACCAAGTATGGACAACACGCTTGGTGCTTTACTGCTCTTCTCCTGCTAAGAATAACCAAACAGTATTTTTCACAGTGCTTTAAATGTGGCACACTTGTCATATTCGACTCAGGAATAAACGGATTAGATGTTGCGGTAAAAGGTCAAGGTCTCTGTGATGAGACATCTTTTCAATTCTCGTGAAGGCGATATCTCAGGAATGTGATTACATTGTCCGAAGTAGTGTTCATTTGTAAGAGCAGTTTTGAGTCCTTTTCAATGTTTTTATTAATGTAAGGTGGCATTTTAACACCCTTTTAATTTTTTCAAGTTACAAAACAGAAATTGTGATCAGCTGAGAGGGAAACCTTTTTGATAATACATACAAATACAAAGTCAGGATGTTTAATTAATTATACTAACAAACTATTTGTACAGTTTCTGGGTTTCTCATAGGTTTGTCACAGATGTGGACTGTTGTCACCTTCGTTCCATCAGTGTTGATCAGACCATATGTGGAGAAGCTTCTGACTGAAAATGGAACACACACAAAGCTCATGCTTATAATAGACAATGCAGACGACGGCTGCCAGAAATGTATGGATGGAGAGCTATTGTTACACTTTTACAGACCCCGTTCAGCAGAAGTCATACTGCTTAATCATCAGCTTTACACATTTGAATAACAACACGTCATGGACCCAACACTTTTGTATAAAAGGGGCCTGGATTCATGGAGTTGGCAGAGCAAGTTGAACCATCCACTTGGAACTACCTAAACCATCATCATGGGCAAGGTAATGGGATGCTTATCTAAAAATACATTTCTACACAGAAAATACATTATCACTGATATTAACTATTTGGCTCCTAAACCATTACTTTTTTCTCCATTTCAGATTGTCTTTTACGAGGAGAAGAACTTCCAGGGTCGTTCCTATGAGTGCATGAGCGACTGCTCTGACATGTCCTCCTACCTGAGCAGGTGCCAGTCCTGCAGGGTTGAGAGCGGCTGCTTCATGACCTACGAGCGCCCCAACTACATGGGAAACCAGTTCTTCATGAGGAAGGGCGAGTACCAGGACATGCAGCGCATGATGAGCATGGGAATGATGTTTGACACCATCAGATCCTGCAGAATGATCCCCTTCGTAAGACACAATTTATACATCTCTTTGATTTTAATCAATTTCTTTGTCATACATTTTGTTGCCTACTTACATCTTCCCTTTATGGTATTACAGCATAGAGGCCAGTTCAGGATGAGGATCCACGAGAAGGAGAACTTTGGTGGTCAGATGAATGAGCTGATGGACGACTGTGACAACATCATGGAGCGTTACCGCATGAACGAGTGCCAGTCCTGCAACGTGATGGACGGTCACTGGCTGATGTACGAGCAGCCCCAGTTCAGAGGCAAGATGATGTACATGAGGCCCGGAGAGTACAGGAACTTCATGGACATGGGCATGAGCGGCCAGAGGTTCATGAGCATGAGGCGTATCACTGATATGTGCTAGACTTCTGTATTTGACTTAAGTAAATAAAAACAATGTGTAATTATTAACTATGTTTGTCAAGCACTTCCTTTCTTTGTGTAAAATGTCCTTAGCCGTTAAAGTAACTAAATAACTACATCATCAATACACAAATCTATACTAAGTGTTGATTAGTTGAGTTGCTTTTACTTGAATTAATACTTTTTTAAACCCATCCAAAATATGTTATATGTTCAAATTAGATACCAATAACACAGAAAAAAAGAAACAATTCGAAAACATTATAATTCATTATTTAGAATTTAAGAGAAATGGCCCAAATAATTCAAAGACAGTTATTGTTAGGACATCAACACCTAGCTTTTGTATTTTTTTTTAACAAAGACAAGTCTCTTGTAAAGGTTCTTTGCTTTAAAATGAGTCCTAATGATGACTTCAAGATGTTATCTTTTACCATGTTGTTTGAACACATTACAAGGCTGTGTAATAAAAGTGAAAAAACCCCATAATATAATCATCATTTTAGACATAATTGACATCCCCCAAATGTTAATTCTATCTGTAAAACGTTATTAATAGAAGGTAATATTCCCAAATATGCTGCATGCATCATAAAACTGCCTTATAATAACATTTATAATATTTAGCTTGTAATTAAAAATGAAAAGAAAATACTATAAAGTTGTTGTACTCAAACATTCCGTGGCCACTTTACTCTGGACAATTCAACAATTAAATAAAGTGGTAGTTAAGTTATTTCCTAGTGCAAACAATTATGACTGCAAGTGATTTTTTTACAAAACAACATGGTTATTGTTCTGTCAACTAAAGACCAACAAAACAGAATGGCGTAACTTTCCCCATTGTTTATCACAATGCAACTTTGATGAGCAAGCAAAGCTTTTCATCATTCTCCTAGAATAATACATTGTAATTTTAATCAATTGTTTTGAAAGTAAGCCCTTTTTTAAATAGCAGGTGTGGATCCCAAATATATACATATACGTGTGATGGATCATAACCAATTCCATATTTTAGTGTCGGAAAAAAACCTATTATTAAAGCTGAAAACAATATTCCTTTCAACAACACATATTTAAATAGCATATTATAGAATAGAAAGCCTTTATTGTCATTTAACAAAAATAGACAATACGATTTTGTACTGCAACTTCAGAATCCGTGATATAAATCACTTGCATAATCTAAAATTGTAATAATCACCCTTAGGAGCACCATTAGGAAGTAGCGCCACAACAAATGATTATTTCAATTATTAATGTGAAAAGTACAAGGTGATGTTTTTATTTTTTGTCAGTCCTAAACCAAAGATATTCTCTTACAGTAAATACAGTACCAGTCAAAAGTTTGGACACACCTTCTCATTCAAAGGTTTCTATTTATTTAAATTATTTATACGTTGTAGATTAATACTATAGACATCAAAACTATAAAAGAACACATATGGAATTATCTAGTAAACAAAAAGTGTCAAAAAAATCCAGAATATGATTTCTATTTTAGATTCTTCAAATTAGCCCCATGTTGCCTTGATGACAGCTTTGCACACTCTTGGCTTCTCTGTTAGCTTCATGATGTAGTCACCTGGAATGGTTTTCCAACCGTCTTGAAGAACTTCCCAGAGGAGCGGAGCACTTGTTGGCTGATTTTACTTCACTCTGCGGTCCAACTGATCCCAAACCTTCTCAATTGGGTTGAGGTCGGGTGATTGTGGAGGCCAGGTCATCTGATGTAGCACTCTGTCACTTTTCTTCTTAGTAAAATAGCCCTTACATAGCCTGGAGATTTGTTTGGGGTCATTGTCTTGTTGAAAAACAAATGACGGTCCCAGTACGTGCAAACCAGATGGGATGCCATGGCGCTGCAAAATGCTGTGGTAGCCATGCTGGTTAAGTGTGCCTTGAATTTTGAATAAATCACCAACAGTGTCACCAGCAAAGCCCCCCCACACCATCACACTTCCTCCTCCATGCTTCACGGTGGGAACCACACATGCAGAAACCATCTGCTCACCCTCTCTGCGTCTCACAAAAATGGAACCAAAAATCTCAAATTTGGACTCATCAGACCAAAGTACAGATTTCCACTGGTCTAATGTCCATTCCTTGTGTTTCTTGGCCAAAACAATTCTCTTCTTGTTGTTCATCGTCAGTAGTGGCTTATTTGCAGCAATTGGACCATGAAGGCCTGATTCACTACTCTGATGTATTTATCCTCTGTGTTGTGGAAATAATTATCATCATCAATTATCATGCCAATTTGTAACCTACAGGACAAACCTCGATGTCTGTTTACCTTCTTTAAGGACACAGGCGGCTTAGCCAATAATGTTATTGTTCCCATTCTGTGACCGGTCAATACTGGGTCACAGATGGTCTGTGTTGTGGGTACACTGGGACACTTCCTTCTCTGTATTTGTGGACTCCAAGGTAAAATCTTCGAGGTCATAAGTGTCCGAGGCAAGTAGCTCTGTGTTCCCACACTGTTTAGGCTATCTCCTCAAATATGTTGTTTACTCTCTGCGAAACCAGTTAGATGGGCTGGCAAGAGAGAGGCTCTCCAGAATTGACGTGGCAACTCTACCGTGAAGTCAGAACCTCTGACTCTTGGACTTGTGATGTGAATCCTCCGGCCGTTAACTCCAAATAAACCATCATGTGTTTGACATCAAAGCTACTGCTCTTCCCGTGTCTCCTTCCTGAGTCGGTGACTCCCACTGCATAGCTACACAGAAGTTTCCTCTACACTCTGCAGCAGAGGTAACTCTTGCTCTTCCTTTCCCAGGGAGGGGGGTCCTCACGAGAGCCAGTTTCATCATAGCGTTCAATGGTTTTTGCGACTGCACTTGAGGATACTTTCAAAGTTCTTGACATTTTCCGGATCGACTGGCCTTCATTTCTAAAAGTGATGATGGACGGTCGTTTCTCTTTACTGAGTTGAATCGTTCTTGCTATAATATGGATTACAACAGTAGTCAAATAGGGGCTATCCACTGTGCACTAACCCTACCTCTGCACAACACAACTGATGGTCTCAAACACATTAAGAAGGCAAGTAATTCCACAAATTGACAAGGCACACGTGTTAATTGAAAACCATTCCAGGTGACTACCTCATGAAGCTGACTGAGAGAAGCCAAGAGTGTACAAAGCTGTCATCAAGGCAATAGGGGGCTACTCTGAAGAATCTAAAATAAAAATCATATTCTTGACTTTTTAACACTTTGTTTACTAGATAATTCCATATATATGTGACCTGCTCCATCGAAATCAGTTGCATTGACCTGAACACACATTTTTAGTTGTATACACTGTTGGAAAGAGGAGATTCCTGGCTTTCTAATGATATCAGGATTGTTGTTGTACTCCAAATATTAAGCACAATATGTCACATTATATAATGACTCTCACCGAGTCATCATTTTGAGAAAAAGGCCTTCAAAGTTTCCTCTTCTCTGGAATCCATCGATCTGATTGGTTATTAGCAAATTATCAAAATACTACGGAGAGAAGATATTTTCATTTAGATTACTGGTCGGGGGAAGCGAGCGAGTGTGTGTTTGTGTAATTTGAGTTTGTGTGTATTGTGTTTGTTTCCCGGGGAAAAACCTCACGAGAAACACCGGCTGTTTTTATGCCTGCTGTGACGTTAAGTTACTCGGTTCTCCGCTTGTAATTATGCCGTTACAAGCTTCAACGTTGTATTTATCATCTGAATTTGCCGAAACAAGTTTATTATTCTGAAAGTCAAGACTTTGTTTATTTGAAATCAGATGCAGGGTTTCCCACACATAGACTATACTTGGGCGGGCCGCCCAAGTATATTTCGCGACCCATTTCGTTTTTTTATTAATTTTTTATAATTTTTTTTTTAAAATATTTTTTTTTTTTATTTGTCCGTGACCACGACGCCATCTGCGATCGACTAACTTGTAGACAATGATCCCTCGCTCCCTTGCTCTGATCTCGCCTCCTTCTGGCCTGTTAAGTGGCCTGCCTCACACAGGGTGACTGGCTGTCCACATGATGTGGCCTGCCGACATGGCCACTGTCATACAGATCATAAATCAAAGCCCTTGATTGGTCTCTGTGTGTCATTCAAGCTCGGGATAACCTCAGCTCAGGTGAGGTAAAGGACTCTCTGAGTGTTTAGATAGTTAACTTAGTCTAAGTTCTCAGTGGGTCTCATACGGTGAGGTCACCATTTATGTAAACACATATTTCCATTTGAGAGGGTAGTGATTGGTCTAATGGAGAGTGAGGTGGGCTGAAGATCGGAAGGCTGTGAGTTCAAATCCCGCCAGGAACACCACCACTAGTGTGCCCTTGAGTAAGGCACTTAGCCCTTAGTTACTCCAGGGAGAATGTCCCTGTAATCGGTCATTATAAGTCGCTTTGGATAAAAGCGTCAGCTAAATTAAATGTAATGTGATTAGTAAAATATGCATGAATAAATAAATAAAAAGTTAACTAGGTGAAAAAAGGTAAGATACACTTTTAAAACTTGTTGAGAGAAAATTAGTCTTTGCTGCTGCCTCAAAGAGGAGCAGGGGGAGAGGATGGAGAGGGGGGAGAGGGGGGAGAGGAGGGAGACAGGAGAGGCTGATTCAGGAGCACAGACACACTCACAACTATAAATGAACCAAAACTAAATTAATAAACAAGTTTCAGTGTTTTTTTCATATTGGAAATGGTATGTTATTGGTTATTGGCTTGATTTTATGATTATTGAAATGTATACAGTTCTGTTAAATATAGGTGTTTCCATAGATCTAGTCTCTTTATTTCCCCCTCAAAATGCACCAGATTGATGCATTTAACTCCAAAATAAAAAATAAAATCTTACCGGGGGGGCATGCCCCTGGACCCCCCTAGAGGATTTGAGGTCGACCCCCACTAAAAATCACATGGATAGGTTCCTAAATACATTAATAAATACATTTATTTTTTAAAATAGTAACCCATTTCCATATGTTCATGTGTGGGTAGTAGATTTAAACTATAGGGCTATCATTATGGACCCTGCCTGTACCTGTACCTGTTCGCTCTGCCATCGCGTGAAGGGTCTGCTAACAAGCGACCAACAGAAAGGTTAATGTTGTTGCACGTCACCTCAACCCCCCCCCCGCTACCACCACCCTCCAAAGTATATTTCAGATCTGTGGGAAACACTGGCAGTTAATGGACCAGCACCAGAGGCATTCCCATACACACAGGCGTTGGAGCTGTTCTTCATGAAATCCCAGAAGGATGAAGTGCTCTGACAAACAGTGCCATCTTTGCGCCAAATGATTATACCGGAATGAAAAGTCAATAAATAATGTTGTTAAAACTTTTTTTTTCTTTTCGCGCACCCCCCCCTTGCCACCACCCGCCCAAGTATATTTTATATCTGTGGGAAACACTGAGATGAAAACAAACTGTAACGGACCCTGCCGTGTTACCTATGATTACTATACGCCTTACATTCATAATTTCAGTTGAGGGAGGGAAAGCAGCGCTGCGGAACAGCAGAGTGGCAAGTGAGAGGTGCCTGTCATCTTCCCGTTACAAGCTTCAAAAATGTATTTATCGTGTGATTTTGGAAATAAAAGTTTCATATTCTGAAAGCCAAGACTTTGTTTATTTAAAATCAAACAAAACACCCGAACCCCATCCATCTTATCCCGCTTATCCGTGGTCGGGTCGCGGGGGTAGCAGTTCCACCGAACCCCCGAAAAACAAAAATGTTTTCTCGCAAATCCAGGTTTATTTTGAAATCAGCCGTTGCGACTTCCGACTGATTTCGATAGAGCGGGTCACATATGTTCTTTCATAACCTAAGTACAGTTATTTAAAGTTCTGTGATTCATATTTTTATAGTGTATACGTTTTCCATGTGTGTCAACCTCTTTACCATCAGTTATTTGTGTGTATGACTTTCAGATCACTCAATAATAACAAACAGAATAGTAGATTTTAAAAGAGAATCACTAGATTTTTATTAAAAATCTTTCATACAGTGGCGCTCTAATAACAGGAGTCCATGATGCGCTTCATGCTCATGAACCTCTGGCCGCTCATGCCCATGTCTCTGAAGCTCTTGTACTCTCCGGGCCTCAGGTACATCATCTTTCCTTTGTACTGGGGCTGCTCGTACATCAGCCAGTGGCCGTCCATCACGTTGCAGGACTGGCACTCGTTCATGCGGTAACGGTCCATCATGTTGTCGCAGTCGTCCATCAGCTCATGCATCTGACCACCGAAGTTCTCCTTCTCGTGAATCCTCATCCTGAACTGGCCTCTGTGCTGTAAATTAAAAAAGAATGATCATAATACAAAGAAATCCTCCTTCAAATATCATAACATTTTTCATTTATGAAATGTCATCATTTCAAAGTACCATGGGGATCATGCGGCAAGACTTGATGCAGTCACTCATGCCCATACGCTGGTAGTCAGAGTACTCGCCCCTCCTGACAAAGTACTGGTTTCCCATGTAGTTGTTGCGGTCGTACACCATGAAGCAGCCGCTCTCCACCTTGCAGGAGTGACACCTGCTCAGGTAGGAGGACATGTCAGCGCAGTCGCTGCTGGTCTCATAGGAACGACCCTGGAAGTTCCTGTCCTCGTAGAAGATGATCTGTAAAAAGGAATCATTATGATAACAGTGTAACGAAGATTTTATAAAGTACACATTTTTTCAGTTTTAACGACGACCCTGATTTGATTTGAATGTTAGAAATCGAGTGCTGTAAATACCTTGCCCATGGTCATGGTTAAAGTTTACTACTATTGCTTCAGCTCTAAATGACTGCACACTTTTTTCGATGTCCCCCAGTTGCTTTTATACCTGACCTAGCATCAAAGGAAAACATGACCCCATTGTTGAAATTCCTGACAGAGCAATACGTAGCAGAGGACCCCGTGTACAGTTCAATTCAAAGGGACCTATAACAGTTCATGATTTGCTTTGGTTGCAATAGTGGGAAGAGGCCCTGCTTTCCATTGTCTGTGCTGCTGAACAACACCAGCTGTTTTTTCACAAACAACATACTGTACTTCACTTGAAGGGCACATTAAATATGTAACCTCTGATCTAGAGTCAATTAATGGATTCATAGCCATGACTGATGCAGGATTAACTATAAGAGTCTAAGAAAACGTGGATTTTTATCAAATGTAATTATTCTACACCATGATATATTAAAAAAAACAGTAAGGCCCCTTGACACTTTTTTTTTTTGTGAGATAAAACCATATAACCATTTTCCAAAAGTCACACACCAGATAATATGTTTTGTTTTTTATATTATTTCCAAATAAAAGTGTCTTTATTTTTAGAATAATACCTCTTGGTAAAAACTTAGTTTCAGAAAAAAAAAGTACAACATCTTCTTTTAGATACAATACAGCATACAAAACCAACTCATCATATTATTTCATAGCACAATCTCCAAATACATGATTTGTATGCTGACATTATTCATACAAATAGTTGGAATGTAATTAACTTGGTTTTTATTGTATCTAGTGTACATTTATTAAATACTGTATGTGATACTGTGCACATTCAGTTCAGCAATTATAGACCATAAGAACAATAATAAGAGTACTATATTAACTCACAACTTTGACTACAACCAAAATGAAGATTAAATATATCAATTAATTTGTAAGTTTATAGCTTTTGGAGCAATCATTTTGATGGTTTGATTGTAATACTATTTAATGATTAATACCCAAGAACAGTCTTGCACGTACTCGCCACAAAAATAAATAGCTAAAACACATCACAATCATACTAGATAAATTACTGATAGTTCAAGCTGTTCCCTTTAAGCACTCATTCATCTTGTGGATTAAATAGCTATCTGATATTGAAAAAAATGGGTGAATGAAACGGGAGTGGGGTAATTGCTTTTGTCACATCGAAGGTAGGGGGGGGTGGAGTCAAAACCAACATGATATTTAAATCTGTAGTCTGTAAATCATTGGTGATTGCAATAAGTGTGGTATTTTGAGAAACCAAAAGGGTAGATGGTGCTGGAGAAAGAGAGGTAGACGGTGGAGCATTTCCAAATAAGCTAAGCCTCAAGTTAAAGGGGACCTATCATGCAAAATGCACCTTTGTACGTCTTTTATACATGAATATGTGTCCCAGGGAACTCACCAAGTGTCAGAAAACACAACCCTCTCTATTTTCCTCCTTAGCCAAATCTCTAAAAAAGGGGCTGCAACGGATCTGAAAAAAACGGATCCAGATTTCACTTCTTTTCTACGTCACAAAGACGTGCTCCGCTTATTGGTCAACTCTCCACCTATCAGGGGAATGAGCCACGGCCACGTGCATTGCCAAACCTCTCATTCGCATATAGGCTATCGGCAGGCTAAATCAACCCCAGTCACATCTGTGTTTTTACCTGCTCTTGCCAGGATGTCTAAGCCAGTTAAACGTTGTGCTGTTGTTGGCTGCAAGACTCGAGCAAGGGGACTGCATGCAATGCCATCAGTGGAAAATTAAAATAATCTGTGGCTAGACTTCACTTTCAAGGGACATGTGCCAGAAGACCACGGCAGATTTCTGTTGGTGTGACTGTGTTCCAAACATTTTACGACGGACATGTTTATGAACTTCTCTCAAGTCCAACACGGATATGCCTCCAAACTAATGCTAAACCCGGGATCAATACCAACCATCCGGGACCAGGCCAGTGAGGACACATCCAATTTTGAAGCAGTAAGTTTTTATTTAGCGGTGTTTTTCCTGATAAAGCTATCTCTAGCATGTAGCTTCGCCGTATCAATGTCGCCTCAAACCCAAATAGTAATCGGTTAGGTGTTTATATGTTTTTGTAACATTTTATTTTGTACGCTTTGTCTTTTATTTGAATTATCAGGCATTTGCTAACATGTTCAGACATACTGCCATAATGGTGATCTGTGTGAAGGCTGTAAAGCCACGCCCTAGCCGATAACACAAGTATTTATTCTCCTATTTATTAGTATTTTGTATCCTCTAAAATCATATTGAGTAAGTTATAATAACAAACGTAATCTTCTGTAGGTAAGTGCCGTTTTTTGCAGCGTTATATGTAAAAGCTTTTGTGATTGTAGTCTGTAAGAACGATCAGATATCATCGATCTGTAAGCTACGCTACGCTAATGAGACATGCCGTTTTTTGCAGCGTTATATGTAAAAGCTTTTGTGTGTTTACTTGTTTGCGCACATGAATATAAATGGGGGTGTGTGTGAGGATACAACACTGTGTGTATGTATGCGAGGGGGGACACACACCACGAGTAAAACGGAGCTAAAGCCCCGTTGGTCTGTTGTTGTTGACGAGGCCTTACCTCTAGCAACAGGCTAATTAGTGGCTAGCACTCATTACAGTCAGTCTACTGAGCTCAGCCCCTCTCCAACATATCATCTGTATTGAGTCAGAAACACAGCATGCACGTTATGGTTCAAAACTAACTCAGATTGGAAAAGGCTAAGCAAAGAGCTTTGCTAAATAGAGAGTTTTAAGCCCCATCTTTTGGGATTTCAGACTATATTTATCCAAATAGTATTTTCTCATCCTGAATACTAAATTGAGATGATTTTGTTCTAACTATGTTTTCTTCTTTACAGGCCAGCACCTCACATACTTACTAATTAGTGACAATTTGTACATCCTTTGCTAGTATTTACATTTTTTTTTATCATGGCGGAAACGAAAGACTGTACCTGGCAGCCCTGCACTACAATGAAAACGCTGAGCGTGCACAAGCCAACATCCACTGGAAACCCTCTGTATAAACTGCAGTTCCCAAAGGCCAGGAAGGGAGAATGCAGAGCAAAACCAGTAAAGACTGACCCCACATTCCGTAAGTGTTTAAAATATTTATTATACAACTATTTACAAATATAAAATAAAAAAATTAGAAATAACTTTCAGTTTTTTACATGCATATACTAATCTAAACCACATTTTTTGTTGTGCTTTTTTTTAACATTGCACAGGCTACGTGGCCAACTTGATGGACCTCATCTTCGACCAAGTCTTTGTCGACCCTGCACCATTATGAGCGACCTGACAGGGAGGAGGTCATCGCCGGGTATGCTACACGGTTCAATTTGGCTGCTGTCTGAACCCAACATCGACATTTTGCGGATCAGGAAACTCCTGCCTCCCTGAGGACAACGCAGGCCGGAATCACCACTCTGATCCTGCGTCCAAGGAAGCCCCAGCACCAGCTCGCAAAGCTTCTGTAGGCTAGATACCTGTGACGCCTGAAATCATTACAAAAAAATATTTAGTGTCATTTATACAAAATACAAGTACATTTAGTTTTTTTTTATGGGTTCAAAGAACCGTTGATTTTGACAATAAAGTTCCGAGTTGATATCAAATGTGTCGTGATTATTCATGTTTGGATGGGTAAAGAATATTCAGATTTCAAAAGCATAAGGTTGTATGTGGACTTTTGTTGTCGTACACATGGGTGTGTTATGCCATTGTTGTGTAGTATATAATAGTACATGTACAATGACAGAATGAAAGATTGCATAAAGCCATATACACCAGTATTTATTTCCATGAACAATATTGGCATTCGTTTTACAATTTCAGTCAAAACAAACAAACCACTCACTGCTCTATTTGCCTCAACTGTAGTCCACCATGTTCAGCTCTGTAAATATTCAATGCATTCTGCAGGGAGAACACATTCAGGCACACAGGCTCCAATCCAGGATGGTCCACCATACAAGTTACAGAGTCCTCAAGTTCCTGCATCCGTCTTGACACCTAGTGTGATAAACATATATTGAATGACATGTGAAAAATGTATTCTCTAAACAGACAACTTAGTGAAGCTATCAAAAATGTTACCTGTGGTATCTCCATGCAGCACATTCTCCGTTCAGAAGGCATCGTGGCGCAATTTGCACATGTACACCTGTAGAAAGAAGTCAATAACTGAGCTTTTAAAAACACATGAAACTACACACATTGCTGACAACTGAGGTGTTGTTGGAGTTATACTTTTTATCACCCTAAGTTATTGAACTTTCCAACGGTTGTTGCACGATGTTGGAAGAAAAGGACTGTAAACTATTAATAAACGCAATGAGGCCATTGTATATATGCTGAAAATATGAATGTCTCCCTTTATAAATATATATATATATATATATATATATGTATTGCTGTTTTTGCGTTACAAACTCTAAGTTATAAACTGTACACATTGCATTCTTGCTAATTAGCCAAAATATGAACGGAATAAGTAGCACGCATCGTAACAGAGTAAAATAAATAGGGACAACAGCTTATCAACTAACCATTCAGAAACGTCCTGCTGCAACCGAGATCTTTGCACCTCCACCAAAACCTCCGCTGCTTCAGGGTCAGTCTTTGGATCAAATTGATAATATGCTTGAACACATGCATTGCTCTGAGATGACATGTTTATTCCACACTCGTAATCACAGCAAGCATGATAACGTGACTCTCACCGGCTCATGCCCCGCTCTTCTGCAGGGGGGCGTGGTCAGCTGCTGCTCAGAATTTTCAAAGACAGGCTTGGAATAGAGCGAAAATGAGCGAAACGAGGCATGGCTAAAAAATGATCTGTTTGGTAATTTGAAAAATAAAATGTATAAATATACCTTATATAGGTATGGTCATACACTATATCATTTAAATATAGCATGATAGGTCTCCTTTAAATGGCTCCGTCTTTACCTGCAGGCAATCTTCAAAGGAAAAACACAAAGCAGCACTAACTGG